TAAGTATTGACAAGAGAGTTGGAGAGTCTATTAGATTGTGTAATAATTTATGCAAAATAATTGAATCTTATAATAATAGCAAGTTAGCCTGTTCTATACCTCTCCAGGGATATATGCCATCAACTCTATACGCTAGATACTTTAAAAATCGTCTTTAAATATGCTTAATTTTATTAATGTATATATTGTGTACAAACGTATTTAAGTCTAGACCTAACAAGGGAACAATATAACATTTTAATTATATAAATGTTAGTGAAGTTGTTACAATTTCGAATTAAGAATCCCAGAGTAAAAAACGCAGATTTAACTGATCGGAAAACAATAGCTTTAAATCAAAAATGTTTTACTTATCTAGGGCTAAACTTCCGGTTTTTGCGTTGTTCTTGGTTGTTAACTTGCTCTGTTTTTTTGTAAAGCTTGTTGTTTTTGCGTGCGGTAAGGTTCTAATTACTTTTCAGTGTTTAAATTATTGTTATTGCATTGTGTTAACCTGTTCTGTGTGCTAAACTTATTGGTTTTGTATTGCGATAACTTGTTTTGTTTGTGTTTGAGTTAGTTTTAAATAAATAAAGGTTAATTTAGCTAAAACTAAACTAAACTGCGCACCACTCAATGTGTCGCGACCAAAAAGTTCGTTCTTTTATAAAACGACATAACTTTTTTGTTTCTTGAACTATTGGTCTGTGTTGTCTGCTAGCCTCATCCTTTGACAATTCATGCTATAGATATGAAGCTCACGGTTCTTCAAGTAAATTTCCTACAGGGTGATATGTTTACCTAACGGTGAAAAATTTTAATAACTTCATCCAAGCCCCTTTTGTAACAAAATAATTTGTTCCTCGTTTTTACTTTAAAATAATGAAGTATTATGTCTAATTTTTCGAATTGGAATCTTAGCAACGAAAATTTGATTTTTTTTTTCAAAAGAGTACATTTAAGGCTTTTTTGTAGACAATACACTCAGTCTTTTTAGGAACAAGAAGATAAGATGGTGAAATAATGTTCCTTAAATAAGCGAAAAGCAACAAACTTCCATTATTTTCAGAGGGCCTAAGCAAAGATCACTTTTTCAAAATAACATTTTGGTGAAAATTTTAGAAAACTAAACCTAAACCGATATTTGCGTTCGTGACATGTTTTATTTATAATTTTGACCTCCTGATTGTGATTCAGTTATCAAATTTAAGTTTCAGATAAAACCAAAATCACCAAGAATCAAGATTCGAAAACAATTCCCGGTTGTTAAATGTCTCAATAAAATACGATTGCTGGTTTTACTATTTTTTACTGTGTTTTGCATCTTTAGTACGATATTATCATGTCGCTGAATAATCAAATAAAGGATCAAATAAAAATTAGTTCTTGAAAAACATTTAAAACGCATTATCAGGTGGAGGAGTGGCGATCAATGGAAAGAGTGAATGCTGAGAGATATAAAGATTTGGTTGTTAGTGATATCGTGGTTCCTTATGAGTATTTAAGGGACCACCATATTGAGAGAATAAATTGGCCACCTTTGTCTCCGGATATGAATACTATTGAGCATGTGAGGGAAGGACGCATGGAAAATTTGGATGAATTGGTAAATGCTATTCGGGAAGAATGGGATACCCCAGGAATTTATAAAGAACTTGGTCGAGGCCCAGGAGGGTTAACGAATTATTACGGGTTAGGGAAGGGCCAACAAAATATTAAAAGTTATTTTTGTTATTGTTTGTTACATTTTTTCGCATAAAAATTTCCAAAATGAACAAACATTTTTTATTTAACTTTATTACCAATTAGGTAGGTACTTATCAGTGATAAGTTATCACTAGTGCGCAATGTAAATGTAACTTATGTAACATTATCCTAACATTATCCTAACCACTTAAACAAATTGCAGTGCCCAAAAAATGAATTCCCAAATGTCATTTTAATCATAAATATGCAAGGAACACGCCAGCAATCGGATTTTATTAAGACATTTAACAGCCGGGAATTGTTTTCGAATTTTGATTCTTGGTGATTTTGGTTTTATCTAAAACTTAAATTTGACAACTGAATCACAATCAGGAGGTCAAAATTATAAAGAAAACATGTCACGAACGTAAATATCGGTTCAGCTTTAGTTTTCGCAAATTTTCACCAAAATGTCATTTGAAAAGGTGGTCTTTGCTTAGGCCCCTATGAAAATACTGGAAGTTTGTTGCTTGTCACTTGTTCAGAATTATTGAAGGAACAATCTTTAACCATTTTATCTTCTTGTTCTTAAAAAGACTGAGTGTATTGCATACCAAAAATCTTTAAATGTAGGTACTCTTTTGGAAAAAAATCATATTTTCGTTGCTAAGATTCCAATTCGAAAAATTTGAAATTCTTTTCAATGTAAGACATAATACTTCATTATTTTAAAGTAAAAACGAGAAAAAATATTTGTTTTTCCAAACGGGGCTTGGATGATGATATTGAAATTTTTCACCGTTTTACATATCACCCTGTACGAAATTTACTTTAAGAACCGTGAGCTTCATATCTATATATAGATCCTCTAGCAATTCATGCTATAGCATGAATTGCTAGAGGATTTGGCTAGTAGACATTACAGACCAAAATAAAATCGTTTAAGAAACAAAAAAGTTATGTCGTTTTGAAAAAGGACGAACTTTTTGATCGCGACACATTGAGTGGTAAGCAGTTTAGTTTCTTACATAAATAAATACATTACATATACACGTTTTGTTTAATATATATTAATAGTAATTAAATTATTATAATTATCACAATTTTTAGTTTTTGTTGGTAAATTAAACATTTTTTTTGTCCATTTTCATTTATTAAAATGTGGAGTGTCATATTTGGAAGTCAAAAATTGACATTTTTATATTGGCGGTTACAAAGTTGTTGCAGCATAGCATTCAATTACTACAGTTGCATCCTGCATCAATTATAAAAGTCGATACAATTTTTGTATTTTTTTTTTAATAATACTAATAAATTTTAAATATGCTATACAGCTGGATATGTTGGGCTGAGTGATTTAAATTGGTATTATATAATCACTCTGTATAAAAAGCCGCGGTGGTAACTTCAATGACAAATAGGTTTATTAAATCATGCTTATAAATGAAACTCTTTGCAATTTCTTGTTAGTTTTATAAACTTTTAAGTTTGGACGTTCTTATTGGTAAGCCCTTTGGTTTGCAAAAACGATAAGTTAAAATCACAAAATAGAGTAATTGCATCAAAAATGAAAATCCCTAAAAACCTTTTTAATGTAATCTAGAGGTAAAAACACATTGCAAAAATATTTTTTTATATTCCAAAAGTTCAACCCGGCCCCAAAATATCAAATTGAAAAAAAGGTACTTTTCAAACGTTCCGAACTCCCGCCATATTGCATGACGTCATAAGCTTCACCAGCTGTCAGAAATCAAGATGTCAACAAATAATAAACACCGATAAAGTTTATGTTTAACATGGAAAACGCGAAACCAAAAATTGGTTGTAAATATTGTTTTGTGCCTTGTTGTACAAATACAACCTGGAAACCTACTGGGAAAGTTGTCCCTTCAATTATCAAAAGCAAAGTTTATGACCCTACACTGAGAGTAGTTACGGCTCAGCCGTATTTTCTTGAATTTATTAATATTTAACATACCTATTCAAACCATATACCTAGTAAACGACATTTTATTTTACTTACATTAAAATGATCCTTAAAATGAGCAATAAAATGGTGACGATGTTTTGATATCGCGCCGAGCTATTTTAATCCACTTTATCCTTATTTTCCCTTTTGGCACGGTGATAAACCTTTTCCCAGGAGTTCTCCAGGTTGTATTTGTACAAGGCACAAAACAATATTTACAACCAATTTTTGGTTTCACGTTTTCCATGTTAAACATAAACTTTATCGGTGTTTATTATTTGTTGACATCTTGATTTCTGACAGCTGGTGAAGCTTATGACGTCATGCAATATGGCGGGAGTTCGGAACGTTTGAAAAGTACCTTTTTTCAATTTGATATTTTGGGGCCGGGTTGAACTTTTGGAATATAAAAAAATATTTTCGCAATGTGTTTTTACCTCTAGATTACAATAAAAAGGTTTTTAGGGATTTTCATTTTTGATGCAATTACTCTATTGTTGGGTCCAGAAAACTAAATGTATTAACACCCAATAAAACCAAAGAAATTAACAAAATTCTTTGTCATTTTAAGGTATACTTGGATGTTAAACTTAACTATGTTAATAAATATGTATATTCAATAATAATATTTATTATAATTAGTTGTAATTAGTATACCATAGAAGCAAAATAAATGCCTAATAATAAAAATGATGCTAAAAAGTCAAATGCAATATAGAGATGAATGTAAATAAAACCATATAAAGTAAAATTATTGATACGAATAATGAAAACATGCAAATATAAATTTAATAAAGTTACATAGTTTCATTTATTTTTAACACAGTTAAAACAAGCAATTTAATAAAAATACAAGTTGTATTTACAGAAAATTTAAATTTTACATCTAAAATCTACCTAATATAACATCAATATTGGTTAAACTTAAAGTACTTTGCAATCAGAAAAGTGGTAAAGTAAATACAAGAATGAGACGATGCAGTGAATTTAGATATAGAAACTTAGAACCATTCCATAACATAGGTACCGTATAAAATTAAAAAATATCGATACATTTTTCTTGATTATTGTGTCATGGAATGATCCTATGAAGGCTTGCATGCATTACATTTATGAAATGTTTCACAAATGACAGTTAGAACGATTACCTAAATGCTTGAGAACCTCGGGATTGCTAACTATTTACAAATGAAAAACAAAAAATACATTAAAATCAGCGTTTTACGTATAACATTCAATACATTGTTAATGGTATGTCTGAATGAGAGTTGCTATAAAAAGCTATGAATTCATAGGTATGGTACATTAATGTGTTTTGTGTTAAAGATAAATATTTTATATGTATACGTATTTTTTTCACATTTACCTATATTTGGGTGTTGCAGCTTTCTACAAATTCGCGCCTCCCTCTCTAGTTTTTGGAAATCTGAAAAAAAATAATACATTAACAACCGGTTTATGCTGTTCATCATATTAAAAAGTTACAACTACACAGTAAAAAAAATTGCCCGTGTACATTTTTTAGTGTAGGGGTAAAAATATTAGAGTTGATTTGTAAATAAAAAGTTACACTACAAAATACACTACACTGTAGGTAGCATTTAGTGCTTATTAACTTTATTTAACACATTTAAAGAATATGAACATTATTCATTGGTACATTCACACTATTTATTATTAAAATAAATCAAAAGGGTAGAAAAACTTAATGCGAGTGTTTATTAATGTGTTAAATAGTGACAAAATGCACACTACAGTGCATTCCAATTTCTTTGTCTGTTTTGATGTTACTAAGAGCTCTTTTTTCTTTACACTACTAGTGCACATTGTATCACAATTAAAGTTAAATTACACCAATAGTGGCAAAATAGACTGAAAAAAACTGGTAATAACCGAAATGCGTTTTAAAATGTTTGGTTGGTACCTATCTACCTACGCAGTGCATATCCGGAGATACCGCGTTGTGGAAGTGTTGCATTTTTGTTCAGTTATATTTTAATTACGGTGAATCCATAAGGGAACATTCTTTTTTTTTGGTAAGTATTATACTTCCTTTTTCTTTAAGCGTTAATACTCAATAAATACCAATATGTTTAAAGATTTCCATATATATCAATAATTTACGGCAGTAGGTCAGGTACTTGTAACATTAATAATATAAATACATACACACTTCATTCACTTTTTATTTTCAAGCGTAATGGTTGTTATATTAACCTATACCTACATTTTTATTAATATTATGGAAAATTTGTATACGTGTGGTAAATCCCCGACATACAGCCGCCTGACGCCTTTATACCAATGGGATCACCCATTTTTTTATAACAGAAAAATGGATTACTGATGAATTCTCAAGATAATTAATTGCTTACAAGTTGACAGCCAGTAAAAAATTGCATTGATCTAAAACTTTTACGTTTTAAGGAACCATTTTGCTTAAGCCAGCCATACGACTCAAATATAAAATTATATTTTAAAAGGCACCGATTTTGATAATTGTCATAGATTTTTTTTCCAAATAAATGTTTTTCTTTATTTACCTTTTCGTTTTATTCACTACCACCAATAGGTTTTACTCAAATAATAGTGTTAATTTAGACTAGAAGTTTGCACTAAAAGAGTAAAAGTACCTTTCTAAAATTAGAACTTTTCCAAAGTAGTGTTAATTTACACTGAACAGAAGTGGAATTTTACCCAGGAAGTGTGGAAGTACACGATTTTAGGTAAATTAACACTTTTTAATGCAGTGTAAAATTACTTTATCCTCAGTGCTATAGTGTTAAATCATACTTGCTTACTTGGGGAAAATTACACTACAAATTAACTCTAATTGTAGTGTTATAAAACAACACTATTTAGTGTGACCTGTGTGAACTCTAATTAGTGTTGCTTAGGGCCGGTTTTTCAATTAGGGTTTAAACCTTGGTTCAGGGGAACTTAGATCAGTTAATGAACTCAGTTCACAGTCAAATGAGTTTTTCAATGTCGACCCAACAGAAGTTCTGTTGAACTTAGATCAGCGGTGTCAACGTTAAGTTGGTACAACCGAATTTAGTAGGTATACGCCTACATTAATAATAGTTAAAACTTTCATTTTGACAAAAGGATTTTGCTGTTTTAAAAAGTTTTAATCTGTGCGAAAGGGTACTTTAAAACAATTTACTATTTTTAAAGAACAATAATTATTATTTATTATGGATAAAAATCGTGCTGCCAACTTTACCTCTTTTAAGGAGGAATTATTTGTATGTATTTCGGTTTATAGTAAACAATGAATTTTTCGTTTTTTGTTACATATGATGAATTTTACTAAAATCTATTACCTATTCAGTAATTATTTTTATAATTAACCTATTGGTCGGATTTGCAATAACTGGTCTAATTAAATCCACTATCCTATAGGACGTATACGTATACGTACAAAAGGTTTCGAAAACCGAAATCTGGCTAAAAATTCATCATTATTCTACCTTTCAAAATGATTCGGTCTTACCCGAGGCCTGTGCACATGAAGTTGAATATTATTTAGGAATGCGCCAATTTCATCATCATCCTCACTAACTACCTCAAACATATCCATTGGTTTATTATAACAGCAGATCACAAAACAAGAAATAAACAACGTAATACACAATTAAGCAGAGAAAAATTAAGTTATGTCAAGTTGAACTTCGTTTAAACGGCCATCAGTGACGGTTCATCTTTTGATTTAGTTTAAACCAAATTCAAGCTTGAACTTTGATTGAAAAACGGCATATTTTGTTTGAACCAAGTTCAAATGCTGAACCAAGTTTAAACTATGATTGAAAAACCGGCCCTTAAAGTTGATTTTTTTTACTGTGTATTATGTATCAAGTTTGATAAACGCCATTTTATACCCGAATTTAATTTAGGCACGAGCGAGCTTGTGAGCGAGTGCTTAAATTAATTAGTGTCTAGAAAAGTTTATAAACGAGTTGTTACTATACTTTTTCTACGACAAATACTTATTATTACTTAAAAATTATTTAAATTAAATAAATTGTATAGAGCGCCATCCATAAAACAATAGGGTAACCAATTTAGGAATGTGTAATAATGTCAAATGTCAAATTTTACATTATTAAACATTGTGTTAATCAAAATATATCCCTTGAAAATGGACAGTTTAATCCGATATAGAAGCTGTTTTTCACAGTGAAAGTAAATAAAATGTTTTATTGGTACACGGTGAAGTTTTCACGCGAAATTAAGTTAAATATAATTTACTCCCGGCAAAAGTAAAAGGTTAGGACAATGTTCATATAAACTTTTCAAATATTAGCGTTGAGAAACTATGTAATACTTTTGCCTTTTTGTTTTAAGATAATAAAATAATTTTTACATATAGTATTATTTTACAAGAAGGCACTTTATTTTAACGATTGTATGACATTTGACAACTGTCAACTAACTTAAAACTAACTTCAGCCCGTGACTAACACGCTATAAAGTCACAGCTTATTAATAGGGGAGTAGATAATAGTATATTATGGATCAAGTTTAATAAACAGCATTTTAGTCACGAATTTTAATTAGGCACGAGCGAGCTTGATGCTTATCTAAAAAAGTTTATAAACGAGTTGCATATTAAAATTTTTTTACAACAAATATTAATAATAAATAATAAAAAATAACTAATTATCAATTAATTTAAATATTTGTATAGAGAGGCATCTATTTATATGAAAAATAGAATAACCTGTAAATCTGTTTTACCGGCTTTTAAAATGGCCGTGTTAGTTATCAATTTTTTTTTTAAAGATCGAAATTTATCTCTTAAAATGGCAACTGTTTAAATTCGATTTAAAAGCAGTTTTTTTCAGTGCAAGTGAAGACGATCTGTTATGAGTAATGCTTTATTGGCAAATACCAGTGTATTGCCGCGGCATGCCGGCGAAATCAAAATGTCAGGATAAACCTTTCAAAGAATGTAAAGAAACTATTTAATAATGTTGTATTTTTGTATAAGAAGAGCAGTTTATTTTTGAGGATTGTATAAAATGTTGTAACTGTCAACTAACTTCAGCTCGTGAATAAAAGATTATTATTACTATTATCATAGTATTAAATTTAATTAAATACCTGTGTGAGTCAAAATTTTATATAGAAAAATTTTTTGTAAATTAATTACTATAGACAGAAGAAAGAAGTAAAGTACTTGAGGTAAAATGGAATTGGATAAAAATTACTATTTTTATTATATTATTATTATTATTAAATAAAAAAATCCTAAATAAAATAGACAATAATTTTAGTACTTAATACTCGGATGTTGATAAAGAAAACTTACTGAATACAAAAAAATAACAAAGTAAAAGCAAACATGTAAGGTACTTATTTTGTAAGCGTAAAATTCCTATCGTTATTTTGTTCAGGTAGTTTTTAAATTAAATCAAATCACAAAGTACACATCTATTAAATGCTCCACACCGCAAAACATGTATCGTGCCTACGATACGGTTAAAAATAAGAATGTTGAACTTGTTTATTGTGCCATTAGGCCTTATTCGCCACAAACTAAAGAAACTTAACGACAGTTTTTGCGAAAAGCCATATCGAAAACAGTCTTTGTCCAGTTCGGTAACAATAAATTCTGCCAGATTCGGATTAACTACTTTTTTGGATTTATTTCTTATTTCTGTATCTTGATAAAGATAGACCACCTGTAGAAGCTAACGCTCGTTAAATTACAAATAGTGCCACTGTCTATATCATAAATTTGCGATAATTTATACATTGAAATAAGCTTACAGTATTGACTATGCATTTAATTTTAATGTTGGCTGCAAAATTTATAATAATATTATAAATTTTGCAGTATATTATACTATATTTTTAATCCAACCCCATAAACAAAATTTTGTGAGATGTCTGTAGATCTTGGAGGCCAACTAATTAGTTATAATCAATACAACGCCTAGGAAACCTTTCGTTTAAATGTTGTATGTTTATAACAAAATGTATTTCTCTACGACTACTTAAGAATAGTAACATTCTAGTGTAATTTTTGATCATAGAAAGGATGTTTTTCTGCAATACTGTGCGAGAATATTCCTACTCTTGTTTAAGAATGGTCACAAGTGACGACATCTCCTGGCTGTTTACTAAACATAAAAAATTTAAAAATATTTAAATATTACTGTATTACTTATTAATTAAAAAATAATAGCAGTTGTATAATTAAGGTTTATGCACAAAAAATTAGTTATATTTATTGTTTTTCAAATATACAAATCAAAATTATAATAAATATGATATTAAAATGATAAACCAGTTACCTACTATACCGGTTTTGAAGTTTTGACAGATTCAAAAAGTTTAAAAAAAGACCTTTAAAATGTAGAAAAAGAATAGATGTTGACATAGATTACTTGTAAAATTAGTTTTGTATTTGTTACAATG